AATTCAGATTTAATGAAAGGGGAGTATCAGAAATCCCAGAGTACAGGGGTACCTGGCTCACTACCTCATCCGTCTCTGTCTTTCCCATGCAAGGCAAACTTCCTGGGATTGTTACATTATTCACGTTTTAACCCCGGGGGACATTTCTGGGGTTAAAATGGAGAGTAAAGTAAATGGGAGCTGAAATGCGATGCCTTCTGTCTCTGCTACCTTGGAAGAGAATCAAATGCTAAATAAGGCCTTCAGCAGCATGGTATTTTGGGCCAAATGATGGATATCATGACTTTTTGTTGTAACAAAAGGAAGCAATTTATTTAACTTGTGTCTTTTGTTCCACTTTTGGGGTTTATTAGCCTCCTTTCATTTCCATAAATTATACCACTAACAGAGGAAACGATTAATTGAAGGCCGCTTCCCTAAAAACATTATTTCTTGTCATTAACAACTGCAACGTATCGTAACGTTGTGCTACCCAAACACACTGAACACACTGGTGCTTTCACAATAATTTTAACGTTTTGTTACTTTCAGTTGTTTTGCTGCAACCATTCAGATAGTTGAACCCCGAGAATTTATCATGCCAATGTAACCACTGTACCCTCCTTGCTCATTGGTAATTATGATGGCAAAGGTTTGTACTTAAAACAATTGTTTTCTAAGTGCTAAATGTATTTGAAAACAGCTTTGAGAAAGATTATTTTCTTTCTGGAAATCTACAAAATTGCCCATGAGTCTTAATGGTATATTTCTCCTTGGATATATGACAATACATTCATGAGTCCTCAAATCTCTCTCTCTTCTTATTCCATATTTGGCATTTTTGATTTGGAGTATACTTGATTAATCTTCATGTGCTCTCAGCATGTCACAGACCTACTTTTGTAAAATTACTAAACTTAAGAATTTTCAAATGCTTATGTGGATAACACTTCACTGAAACACACTGTCACAATCGGTGTTAGGCGCACTGAAACCTTTTTAGGAATTAAACTTTTAATCATTTATTTTATGTAGTCATGATAACTGTGTCCTGAGGTTGTCCCAGTTACATGAAATTTCAGCCCTTAAGTTTACTATAGTTATGGTTCCTCTGCGTTTGCGACTTAGCAAACATGTACTAAGGGTTTCCAATCACCTTTGTGGTAGATTAGGGAACACAGATTACTGGTAAAGCTTAATGATAATTGTAACAAATAAGAATATATGGTCTCTAAAAAAGATGAAAAAAGATGCTTAAAACTTACTAAAGAGGAAATGTTTTCTTTGATGATTTTGTTTGAAGTAGATTAATATTGGGAAGGACTTCATAATTTGTCTTAATGTAGATTCTCAGTAAAGAATTTTAAGTTCTAAATTAACAATAAAGACTATCACAATGGCAATAATAATAATAGTAATCACCTGATATATGTAAAGCTATTACTGACACCAGTATTGTACTAGTATTTTATAAAGTATAGTTTAAGAATAATAAAACTATATTAAAAGTGTTACACAAATTTGCATTGCCTATAACTGCTAATATCTACATAATATACTTAAGACATTTGCAATTCTGTAACTAAAACAAACCAGGATAAAACAGATGATGGTGCCACAGGCAAAGCCAGTCGTGTACCCAGGACACATTTCCAAGAGCCTATCGAGAAGGGACCTCAGTTTGTCTAACCTTTAATTTTCAATATCGAGGAGAAATATAGTCACAAAATTCAATGCTTTCAAAACAAGCATCAGTGTTTAAGAGAATGTTAACATTTCAAAAGGAAAAACAGCTATCCCAGAGAACATGGAGAAAACACGGCCATCGAATGACCACGATCCTCACGGTGCTGTGACACAAACAGAACCCAGCAGACAGCCCTGCGCGTGGGCTCCTTCAGCAGAGAGCAGGGGACGCTGCCGTCAGAGTCACTTGTCAGTAACCCGACGCGGTCTGTGTCCACTGTCAGGGCAGCCGGCTTCCTCCAGGGCCACGGAGGCAGCCTGTGGCCTGTGCTGGGCCCGCAGGCAGCCCGCTCTGAGGACTTCACAAGTGGCCTGTTGTCTCTGACTAAACCCTCAGCATTGGGGTTTAGCTGCAGAGCTGGCCCTCTGTGATGCGTAAGTGGGTTCAGGGTGCGGTGTGGGTGCTCCTTCTCTGTGAGTGCGCCATCACTGATCTAGAGAGAGATTTCGGCTGCCCCTGACTCTGAGTATGTAAAATTTCATGTCCTTCAGGAAGTTTTTAATCAATGATTTCTCCTCAGTTGAGCTTTTGGTCTAAATTAGGTAACTGGACTCAATCTTATACTCCTGGAAAAGTACTTTACGTAATGCTGCTGCCATTTCTATGCAGAGCTATTAGCGTTAATAACAAAGGCAGAAAGTGATGGTGAAGAATCAAAACAGAAGTCGACACATTGCACTTGTCTGAGGAAGATTTTTTAGAGAAAGAGAAGCCAGAGTGAAAGGGAGGGATTGTCTACCTAGCTATCTACAGAGAGGAGGCTCTATCATTAATGCTTCCTGCGTTACACAAACTTTGTAGAAATGATTGGAGTAGAACAGTTACAAATGGAATGGCATTATTTATGGAATGACTTTATTTATTAGACAGCTACTCACCGGTGTTCAAATGTGGGAGACTGCAAGTCCCCACATTAGCAGTAATTACACTGTGGGCTCACGGGTCTGTGCGCCTGGCCAAGCCACCTTCACTGAAGCTTCTAGTCACAGGTTAAACGTTGCTGATGGCAGAAACAGCCTCCTACAGAGCAATTACAGAAGTCACTGTATCCATTGAAAGTTTATTTTGTTAATTATGGCCAACAGCAGCAGGACGTAATCAAACATAAAACAGGAGAATCCCCAGCCGAAGGAACACAATGGTACCTGTGTACCGAGCGTGACTGACAGTCCCTCTGAGGGGACACCAGCCTTCCCTGATGCCTGCTTAAAGATGTTTCTCTTTGGAGAAAGGGCAGAGAGAAAGGGTCAACTTGGGGAAAAATGAGTGCTGGCCGGAGTAGTTATCAAAACAATCTAAGGAAAGCACCAAGCCGGGAACCAGCTTCCCAGTGAGCTTATCATTTGAGAAATGCACTATATCCAGCTAAAAGCCAAAGTTCGTATAAATTCTTCATTAGCTTAGATATCATCTTCTAGCACATTCAACTGAGGATGCCATGGGTGAGATTTATGTTTTAATATAAGAAACATTTACAGTGACTTTTTTCTTAGTTTTTCCGGTATATAAGGAAAATTTACTGCCTCCAGAAAAGATCTTGAAGAGAAAAATAAAAACTGACAGGTTTCCCAGGACTATCAGAAAGGTTAGCAAACTGAACTTCTCAGATTAATTGAAAAGACCATCTGGACAGTGATTTTCAAAATAATTTACCTGTTGACATTTGGCCATCTCTTGTTTATTACACAGTCACACTCTTCTTTTTTGCCGTGTCAGCTAATGCATTGAAGGATCTACACAGTTTCTGTTTGAGAGCAGTAACTTATTTCTGTAGCTTTTCATAGTAATGCAAACAGGTCAGGTGACAGACAGGTCCATTATTATGAATTTTTCCTTGAGGAAAGCAGACCTGAGGGGGAGGGCAATGCAGACAGGAGACAGCTGAGGCGCACCCCAGCATTTGTGATTGATTTGGGGTTTTCGTCTGTCACCACTCAGACAGTTACAGTTTGTGCATTGACAGAGGCTGGGTGAGACAGGTGCTTTTCCACGTTAGAATTGGGCACCCAGCAATGGAGACGCAGCCACTGAGCCTTGCACCCCAAGGTGGCCAGGGAACAGATCGTGGACTTAGCCAAGTGAAAGTAGGGGTGACTGCCATGGGCCTTGGACAGTGACCAGGGAAGCTGGGCTGCGGGAAGCTCGGGCTCTACTGAGAGCAAACAATACTGCGTTCCACAGATGCGAGGACTCAGTCCATCATGACAAAGGGATGCCGAAGACGGGAGGGGGCATTTTTAAATTAAAAACCTTGCTGAGCTTGAAGGAGAGAGCACGAGTTTTTCATCTGTCTACACTGTCAGCTCCCTATGCACGTGAAATATATTTATTATTTTCTAAATTAATGTAATGAGTTCCAGGCTGCACAGGATGTCATAATGGAAACAGGATTATACAAGATAATACAGAATTTTGTTCTCTAAACGAGTTTCACCTAGATTCCCTGTGTGTCCTTTTGATCTGAGCTGTGTTTCAGTTACCACATTGAAGGAGGTTACATAAAGGGTAAAATAATAGAAACTTAATCAGGAAATAGGTTTTGGTATTGCTGTATTTTATTATATACTCTTGCCATAGTCCATAGCCTAATTCTTGAAATTAATAAAAGATGTGTCATTTGAAAATGAGGACAATTGAATCCACATTGTGCTGTAATTACACATCTTTCTTCTGTGCCTTCCTGAGTGTTTCACACCGAGCGACCTCCGCCAGCACCTCCGTGTGGACTAGTGCAGGGGTACGGGTACAGGAGGAGAGTGCAAACTTCCTGAGCTCTCTCTTATTTAAAATGCTAGGTAAATGTCTTTGACTGCTGAAATTTTAATTTTACAGATGAAAAACACAAAATGGCAAAAATAATTTCTCAGAAACAGATGCTTTTTTGAGTGCAGTAGCTTTCCAGGAGAGAAGAGCCTGGTGTGGCCTGGCTGCGTGGTCAGGGGCAGAGCGCTGGCCGGTAGTGTGTCCCTGCAGGGCGCTGTGGAAGGAGAGAAGCATACAGGCCAGAGTGCCCACCTGACTGCTTTGGTTAGTGGACTGCTCTTCTCTGGCAGACCAATCTCTGCACACTTGGACAATGCCTAGCACAGTGATTATGCTACCTGGCCGGCACTGGGCTTCTGAACGGTTCCACCCTTGACATTTCTCACCCTATTCAAGCCACTGAAAGCTTCCAGCTTGCCCACAAGTGATCACTCGATTTCCTAGCGCAGTCCCTGGAGCACTGGCATTACTTCTCTGACGTCTTCTCCCCTGTTTTCTGCTCTCTGGTCAGATGCTCCCCTCGGGCACAGCCTGGAGGAAAGGGTCATCTACGGCGTGGAGAACAGCAGTACTTTCCTGGAGTGCAGCCCCAAGTCCCAGCGCGCGCTGGTGTACTGGCAATTCCAGAGGCGGAATGAGGACCGGAAAGAGGAGGTACTGGGTGCCCCTGCCTGGACCTTTCTGTCTAGCCGGGGCCGGGGAGGTACCGACAACCCTCCTCCTATACTATCACCTGAGGGTTCGGTCACTGAGCAAGTGGGGGGGGGGTCCAGGTGGACTGTCCAGGCGTCAGGCCTCGGGCTAAGAGTTGGAGAAGTGATGTGAGGGTGGCCAGAGTTCCTGCCCCACGAGCAGGAACTGGGGCAGGAACTGGAGACCTGGGTCAGGCCCTCCTGTGTTTGCAGTGATCATCTGCAAAGCCAATGCGTTCCATTTGCACATCAAAGCAATCAGGTCTTCCAGTTTTAACTTTTGCTCAACTAATTCTTGGATTCGCACTGGTCTTCCTTCCTTTCTGACTCCTCCACATTGTGAGGAGTGAGGAGATGGGAGGACAGAGTAGGGGACCAGAACGGCAGCGCTGAGTCTGCCCCTGTCTGTGCAGAAGCCACTGTGGGAGCAGCAGAGGCTCCCGCTCCCCGGTAGAGCCGCTGTTTCCTCCGAAAAAGCCGTGTCCCCGACAATCTCAGTGAGAACTCTGAGCCTTTGACAATATCTAAGCACGTCAAATAAAGTCCAGACTGTTTGGTTGCTTTGCAAAATGTATTATGTGTTAGTAATTTTACCAGCGTAATATGACTATTAAGCAAAATACTCCCATTTTCCCCTTTTGACACTTTAAACAGTTTCTGTATAATCACGTTGTGCAAATCTCAGTTGATTTTATACATCGCCAGGCTGGGATTCTAGCAGTTTCCTTTGTAAACAGTATTCACAGTGAAAGCAAGGGCACAGCCTCCTTTTTGTGGCCCATTCGATACCTAACATGTTAAATAAATACTTAGTAGATTTTAAAATTATTTAGTTCCTTCCTGTTGTTCAACAGCTGAGTTTATATTTCTTTAGTTTATTTCAGGAAGTTCATTTTAATATCCTACGCTTTTCTCTACATGGCTTTCTTGCCAATTTAAGTATTTTTGTACCATAGCATTATCCCTATCTTTAAGTTGATAAGATAAAAACTACGTATTTGTTTGTTCCTCCAGTTACCTTGGCTATTTAAACTTTTTATAGTAAATCTTATTAAAACAGTGGTACAACCAATAGTTTCCAGTGATCTTAAAAACAACCGATGGATGTTAACTTTTCTTAGATACAAAAGTGTGGACCTCACTCTCCAGTTAGAAATTTTGTTAGCTACTAACTTGTGCCTGAACAAAGAATCTGAGTTTTCCTGGCACTGCAGATGCCCTGTGCTTGGGAAGTCCTGGGGTGTGTAACTCCCTTCTCTGCCCTGCAGATCAGAGTGGACGACCACACCGTCAGGACCGAGCAGGGCCTGCTGCTGCGCAGCCTGCAGCGCAAGGACTCGGGCACCTACCTGTGCCTCGCCGTGGAGCACGGGTTCATGCAGACTCTGCTCAAGGTGACGCTGGAGGTCATCGACACGGAGCACCTGGAAGAGCTCCTGCACAGGGACGACGACGGGGACGAGTCCAAGACCAAAGAGATGGCCAACGGCATGACCCCCAGCCAGAAGGTCTGGTACAGAGACTTCATGCAGCTCATCAACCACCCCAACCTGAACACCATGGACGAGTTCTGTGAGCAGGTTTGGAAAAGGGACCGCAAGCAACGGCGGCAAAGGCCAGGCCACACCCCAGGGAGCAGCAACAAGTGGAAGCACTTACAGGAAAGCAAGAAAGGGCGAAACCGGAGGACCCACGAGTTTGAGAGGGCACCCAGGAGTGTCTGAGCTGCGCTCCCTCTAGAAACCTCAAACGGATAGCAACTTGCCTAGACAATAACTGGAAAAACGCAATATCCATGCACTCTTTCCATGGCATTACGTGGGTGTTTACAATGGTGCAGAATTCAACTGAGTTCCACCAGTTATAAATTAAATCATGAGTAACTTCCTCACAGGCTTTCTTCCTGACATCACACCCAAAACCAGTCGTGAGCGGACACGGATCACCACAGCGGACCGAGCGTCTCCTAGGAGAATCCACTGTACAAGTTCCACCTCCTCCTTTGCCTGAGAAACACAAATGTCACGTGCCCTGTGGCCATCGACCGGAGAAAAACTGCATCAGCAAGCCATTGTGCTGAACTAGGGGTTTAAAGTAAACTGCATGGATTTACTGAGTTGATAAATATTCCAAACCGTGGTTGGATGCAGAGATATTTTTTGTCTACCAGCACTCATGTTTGTATGTACTGAAGGAGAAAAGAGGTACTGAATGAAATGGTCTGTGGAAATATAAAACACATAAACCATCTAGCGTCCAGAGGCAAAATGGAATACACTGATCTACTACTGATGTCTTCTTTCAGCTTTGACCTAAAGATGTATTTTATTAAAACTATAATTTAAATGTACCATGACAAATATGCAGTAAAAATTAGCTGTTTTCTAAGCTAGAGTAGTTTTTTGTCTTATAATTATTGTGCTATATCGTTTGTTTTTAAGATTCCGATTGTGTGCTGCTTTTGTTGATGTTTTGTTTTTAGTTCTGTGAGAGGGATAGCTGGTATTGTTCTGGATACACATACATTAGGAGCCATCAATCCTACAACCAAAATATAAATTATGCTTTATTTTTTTTGAGGAAATCAAGCAAATGAAAGCTGTTCACACTTTCCCTTCTTTAAAGATTACCTAATTTTAACTTGCATAATGTTCTTTCAAAAACAGAATATAACCAGCAAGAAAAGAGAAAAAATTGATTTCCTAAATGCATTTTATTCTATATAAAGGATCAAAGGAATGAAAATGATCTGTATGCTTTGCTAAAATAATAAGCATCATCTTAATATAGCTGATGGAAAATGTCTCCATTTCAGTGCTTGGATTTCAGCATTGTGTGTGAGACATAAATATCCTCCTATAATTCCACAAGGAATTAAATGGATCACTTAGTGATTCTAGAAAAGACAGAGAAATCAGTAAATGGCAGAATGAGTCTTACTGACAGATTCCTCAACTGTTTCCTTCTGAATTAGCTCCCCTTATCTCACCTTGCTTATAAAAATAACCCATATTAAAAACACCCGGTCCTTTCCCTGTCTGTGGGCATGGCTTTTCTATGCACTAGTTTCCAAGAAGGCCCTGAACTTCAAAACGGTAAAACACTTTGTTTGCCTCTGTAATTTTCAGACTTAGGTAAAAGACTTGTCACCAAGAGTTTGCCCTGGTTGTTGTCCTGAAGAGATCCTTTGAGCATCTTAGGCACAGGGTGTTCATCCCTGTATCCTGGGCTTTGGCACTGCCCAGTGTCATCAGGAACTCTTCCCTGAGCCCTTGGAGAGGCCTAGGACAGCACGGAAAACAAGCTTCCTGCTAATTAAAGAAGCGACACTGAAATGTAGCTCCAGTTGTCACGGGACTCTAATTAACTCAGCATAAATTTCTCACCTCAAACAACAGCAAATCCGTATTCCCCGTCAGCTGAACTATTTTCCAGATGGGAGCTCATGTTTCAGTTTTAATGATTATTTGAATAAACAATTTGTTGACATTTGTTTCAAATAAAAGCCTAAAAATTATCTACGTCCAATTTTAGGCACCACTGACTAAAATGTCGCTTTTTGGGGGGAATAATTTTCGAGGGAAGTGGAACTGGAAAGCAAGTTTCAGCCCACACTACTGTACAGGAAATAGTACTTGGAATATAAATCAAGCAATCAAGAATGCTACAAATATAGCTCACTTTTTTATACTTTAGTACAGTATCTTCACTGTATTAAAATTCAGTGTTGCATTTCATTCTAAATTTGCAGCTGAAACAGATTTATTTGCAATAACAAAAGTATTTTATTTCTTTTTACTACTTAAGAATAAAAGGATTTGAAGGAGTACAGATTGTATAACTTCATGGATACCTTCCAAATCCGAAAGCATTTTGCTTAGCATTACAAAATATCAATAGAAAAAGTCTAGATTTTAATTCAAAGTATCAAACGCAAAGAAGTCTACTGGCATGCCTTTATAAACCATCAAGTCTAAGGTTTTGAAAAAAAATATAAATATAGTGTGCAGGTAACTAATTTCCACCACAGTACAGTCTTCTGCCAGCGCATATGGAGAGGAGCAGTTTTCAGGAAAATGAATCCATGCCCCAGATTCACAGTTGCCGCCATACACATGCATCATCAGAGATGGCACTGGGTAAAAAGAGACACACAACCTTCAGCAGATACAGTGGCAACCATAGAGTACAAAGGGATGCATGTCAGAAAGGAAGTCCTGGCCAGGGAAACAAATATAGATGCATGTAATTGCACACTTACTGCTTCTTTTAATGCATCATTCAGTGAATTTGGTGATATGTGTTTAGTATTTTTTCTACCTACACATGAGGCAAAAGAGATGTAAATAGTCTTAAACAGAAGAGGAAGAGCAGTGTAAAACACGAGTCTCTGTAGGTATTCCACTGCAGGTGTTCGGCGTCACCCCGAAACAAGGCTCTCCTACACAGGGGCAGGGGTTTCTGTGCTCCCTCAGGCCACAAGGTGTGTGCCCACTGAGTAAGCATGCTTTTTGCCAGATAGTAATATGTTCCAACCTATACTTATCATTGCATTTCAGATGGGAACTAAAAAACTGGAGAGTCCAATGTAATGAAACTGCTGCTGTAAATTATTCCTTTTAGCATGTATTCAGTTGCTAAATACACATTTCTTCAAAATATTTGAATTCAGATGTCTTTACTGTTCCCTGTAACATATGGTGTTAAGGAACATAAGCTTAGGAGATTTCGAGAACCAGAATCTGCTTGATCTCTAATCAGCTAATGGATTTCTTCATTGTCATCATCTGTAAGTTGGATTCTATATTTATGGTGATGATACAGATTTTTATGCCTTTTAAATTAAATATTGTTCCTTTTTATGTAGTATCTAAAAATACAGGAATGAAATTCTATTATATGTCATTTTCATAGTAAGTTTGGGTTCGTTCAGGATCTGCGGAGATGTCACACTATTTTTATTGTTGTTACCTAACCTGAAGGTCTTAGGGAAACATCTGATCACTATAAGGTCATTAGTATAACATCTGGAATCCTTGTCCTATGAATTGATTTTTAACACGATTTCAGTTTAATGGAAACCTATCAGGTTTCACAGCTTCAGACATATTCAGCAACTAGAATTCAACATCTCCTTATTGTATAACGACATATTAGATATAAACTCACATGCCAAAGGCTCCGTGTTTCTATTTTATCTTTGTCTGTAATCATTATTTAAAGCCAATGTTAATGTTTGCAAAATACATGTTTCCATAAAGAGGAAAACATTATTTTTCAAAGAGTCTGCCAAAATCCTACTAGTTTGTTTGATTTCCTTCAGTGTTGGTGTGCTAGCTAATTAAAAAGATGTACATTTTTTAGACTAATGGATCAAAGGACCCCTAAGAGACAGGACCTGGAGCTGCACAGGTGGGGCTTCCAGCTCAAGGCTGTTTGCACAATGAACCAAACCAAAGACAACATCATCTTCGATTCCCGTATGAGGCACACACAGGCAGGGCACAGGGCCACACGGGAAAGGTCATCTGAGCCGCAAGACACTGGGCTTGTGAGCATGTGTCCTTTACAACCAGGACTGTGCCTTTCCAGAAGTGTCCTGATGTTCGTTTTCGATTCTACACTGCCAACGGGAGGAGAAGGCGCTTGGAGAAGCGAACGTAACTGCATCCTCAGAGTTCGCAGAGGAGTGAGGGAAACAGACAGGGTGCCCACCTCCCTGTCTGCGAGTCTTTCCAGACCCGGCTGGCCCCAGCCCATGCCAGCCTCCCTCTGTGCCACACCTGTGCCTCGAGTGTACTCTGCATGGCTCCACATTGTTCATGGCCTGTTTCCAGACCAGGCGCTGCCTGAAACACAGGTTTAAATCTCACCTGTCTCTGCCCCAGGGCCTAGCAAGATGCCACGAGCAGAGGAGGAGCTCAGGAAAGAGCCACTGCACATGTGTGCAGTGCGGACTTGGAGCTCACAGCAGAAGTGCTAGAGACGAGGAGGAGCAAGGAGCTGCTGTGCGCGGAGGGCAGAGGCAAAGTCACTCGAGAGCTGTGACTCGGCCAGAGGATGGAGCAGGCGAGCAGAGGGGAGGAGGGCAGCCTGGGTGAGGAAGTCAGGGGGATGGGCAGCGGTGAGCCAAGAGCCTATGCCCACTGCAAGCCTTCCACTCGCAGAGCACAGGCCCTAAGGGCCGTGGAAAGTGCCCTGGCATGGGCTGAGGGTGCACTTGTCGGCCTTTTTTGGGCTCCGGTTCAGTGGCCTCAGTCAGAGACCACGTGCTCGGCCCTGGAACAGGGTGACAGGTTCCAGCTCCCTCTTCCCCACACTCTCCATCCTCTCTTATCACAGCCACCCTTTCCTGAGCCCAGCCAGAGCCTTAGTACTGGGCAGTGACCATGCCACCTCCAGACTAGACCTCACGCCAGGTCAGCCTACCAGGCAGCTGCTGGAATTCTGCATTCCACCAATACAGGGGAGACCTGTGTCAGGTCAGCCCCTCTGTGCTCTGTCTCAGCGTGGTTCTCTGTTGCGCTCCACTGATCTGCTCTAGTGTTGGGGCCCATGGCCAGCAGGTCCCAGCCTGTCTTGCTGATTAGCAGTGTGGATCTGCAGAAGGAGAATTAACATGTGAAGTCTGTGCTTTGTTTGTTCAAGGGATACCCTGGTCGGGGTAATTGATGGCTAGACAAAGCTGCTGGCAAGATTAGCACACACAGGCAGACTTCTACATTTTACACAAAAATTAAAAAAAATAAAAAGAGGGCTAGCTTCATTTTGAATCTGTCAACTCACCCCACCATTAAATTAAACTGTCATGTTTTCTCTCATATAACAAAGGAATGTATTTTATTTCTCTTAATCTAAACATTATACTTGCAGATGCAATGTTTATTTATATAGTACCTAAGCCAAAGTTCTCCCAAATGTGTTCAAGTCATCACAACTTGAGTAATTCTGACGTCTCAAGCTTCTCCCTTTCCTTTGTAAACCTCGCGGGAGCATTAGACCTCAAGTAAATACATTTGAAAATCTGTGTCATTTGTGCAGCCCGGTTCTTAATGCTTTGTTGGTTTTGTTGATAGCTAAATCCAGAGAGATCCAAACTATTTTAGACAAAACTTTTGTCTAAAATTCAACAGCTTTTCCACTTTAGGGGTGTGTGTGTGTGTGTGTGTGTGTGTATCTCAATTTTCAGGGAGTGTACATTTTTGCATTTCAAAAAAGATGACCGAATTACTAGGCTTCAAATATGGTACTTTATTCATGCAGTGCTTTAAATTGTTAGTGAATATGAACAAGTTAATTCAAGCCCAAATCACTGAACACCTTTTAATAAATCCCACATGAATTTGAGTGCTGGCTATTCATGGTGCGTGGCTGTGGCACATTCTCATGGTTGCCATCAGCCAATTTCGAATCACCACTGGTTTTCTTTTTTGCATTACTGTGGACCCTAGCAACACATCAGTTGAAATTATTTAGACTTTATTTGGTTTGGGAAGCAGGTTAAATTATAACCTGGGAACGTTACATAGCATCACAAGAAAAATATCCAGTATCAGTAGGAAGTGTGCTGTCGGCAGGTGTACAGACCTCTTACAGTCATGGAGCACATTCACTCAGAGGACAAGAGCACCCTCACCCTGTAATTACTGTACTGATCAAAACCGTCCCTGTGGCAGTCCCCGTGGACTAGTAATGGAGGCCGGAATGTGACGTGTGCACTGCCCCTGATCTAGGTGAAGTGCTTTCTTTTTTCTGTATTGACTGCTACAGAAGCGCGCAGGCTCCTTTTTTTGTCAGTGGCTTCATCAAGACATACAGTGATTCAGTGATTAAGTCTTCGATTTGCACAATCAAAAGTGATAGGAATTGTAATTATTCGGTGATTCATGATTACCTACGTTCCTGAAAAGACAGCTGGCTTTCCTAAATGAAACCTAAAGGACCGCACTGCGTATAAAGAGAGAAAGAGAAGGAAAGAGAGTCCTCAGGGAGTGAAGTGGGGATGGCTGCGGGCTGGCCAGGGGCAGAGGTGACCTCAGCTCCTCAGGAAGCCATCGGGGAGCACACCAGGTGCTCAGGGTCAGCTTGTGCAGGCGAGCAAGGGCATGGACATGGACAGCCAGCGCTGACCTTCACATGTGAGGGCCTGAGGCCTCTTCTTGTTCCTCCCTGGGCCTCAGTCCTCCCCTCTGTAAAATAGATTTCTCAGTTCTTCATCTGTGAAAGCAAAACCATGAAGACTTTACTCATAGCATGAGAGAAATAAATAACTTTTTCATATAACACGGATATCACTAATCAGTATTCACTGTAAAATAAAACACTTTCTGTCCTGGTACGAATGAGGAAAGATATTCCTTCTGCTTTGAAGGAAAATGTTCTTGAGTGTTCCTATTACCATACTCTCTAGACTTTCTGCTCATCGCAGCCTCTGACATTTCTAATTCCCCCTTCTCCCTGGTTCTTTTCGTAACAATTATCACACTCACGCTGTTCGGCGAGCAGGTGTCCATTTCAGATTTCCAGTTCAGTATATACTGTGTTTGCATTTGCACTCTCATTCTCTCCGAATCCCCATTAAACAAGAAAGGAGAATTAATGTTTAGCATTGAATCTCGCTGGATTTTAATTGGTGTCGACCTTCATCATCCCTCGTGATGCATGTGACAGCAAAGCCATCAATTATTTTACTATAAGTGATCACTGATATAGTTTTCAGCATTCACTGCTCAAGGTCAGTTTTCCAAGCATGAAAAGAAAATCTGTCTATCATTATTTTATATTTTTCAGAGATCAAAATAATTCTTATTCTATGCAGACTCAATAAAATAAACTATTGCATTAAGTGTGCTTTCACACATGAAAAATTTTGGTACACAGTCTGAGCAACTGCAAGCACTGATGTAAAAGTTTCAAAAGTAAAATCAAGCTGGAAGAAACACGTTGGACAGAAGGACCTATATGTCTTGTACCATGATATAACTCACAGCAAGAAAATGTAAGAACAAGCATTTATTAATGGTCTCCAAAGAGCGCATGAAAAGAGCACTGCCATAATTCACACCTAGAAATATAATAATTTATGCAAAATTGTACCCTTTAAAATGTAAAGATGAAAAGAGACATGACACCTCAAAACCTTACCAAGCGGAGGATAAACACAAGAAATAAACCACATGTGCCGTGGGAGGCAACTCCGCGGAGCAGCTGTTGGGGGAATGAGATCCACTCTGACAAGATCCAGATGTCCACTAAATAAGAGCGTCTCAGCAAAATCCGGGACTTCAAGGCCTGCTCGGACAGGATAGACGTTCCCCAAGTGTGAACCCTGGCGATGTGCGGGTATTTGGTAATTCTCTTTGAATAATTGCCTTTTCTTTGAAGCATTGTCGTCTTTCAGCCTTAACTATCTTGGAAGTTGATAAAAAGCAGCATAAAGAGAAGGAACAAGGGAGGCCGTGAAGCTCAGTCTTTCTGTTGTGGGTCTGGAGAGACTGTGCCTGCTGGACCTTCGGGAAGGGGAAGGCAGGACTGGCACAGTGTTTCTCACCATCCACAGTGGGACAGAGCATTGCATTAGAAGCTTCACAGGCAGTGGACCCAGGTACGCAGGGTAGTAGTGAAAATAATTCATTTTCTTCCGGGCAGATGTGCCCTCGGGTTGCTGCTTTCTGGGTTTGTTTCTCAAGCGTCCCCATCATGCCTGCATTTAGACACTTCCCCCGAAGCCACGCAGCTCCCCTTGCTCGGCTGACCAGCCACGTGAGGAGACAGAAAAAGTACTTCGTGCAGCATTCAGGAATCCAGTTGGAGAATTCTCAAAGCAAGAAATTTTAAGAACACAATGAGCGGAAAAATATCCAATGTTGTGAGGGAGAGAAAAGAGAGGCTGAGGTCTTGGGAGGGAGAGGAAAGAAAACGCACTGATCTTCAGAGGTGGTAAAATTGTAAAAGGAGAAAGATGCCATAGATCGTTAGCAGCAGCAGTGCCCAGCTCCTTGCCTCGCTTCTTTTTACCTTTCTGGGCTTTCTGGTCCCAGGTGTTACTGTGGATCTTTAGCTCATCTGCCTTGGTCACAGATCTACTGAGTCCAACCTCTCAACACGTGGCCATGGTGTGGACCGCGGGCGGGGGGCCTCATCAGGAAGAAGCACGCACATCTCACCATGCCTGGACCCAGCCAACCTGAGCGACCTCAGAGCAGGGTTTCAGGATGACTCTGAGGACAGGAACATCTGCAGGCCAGGCCCACACAGCTCCGGGTGAAGACTGGGATCCCGTTCTCTTGAAGGGGTGCAAGGTAGATGCTCCTGTCTCAGACCTAAGCAGGCTCCCCTCTCTCCAGGGAGTGTGACCCCAAGGGGTGGAGATCACACTACAGACACCGAGCTGTCAGTGCCCAGAATCTCAGACTAACCACCAAGTCCATTTATGAAAAGAAACAATTAGATATATCTGAGAATGACTGTAACAGAAATCAATAGAAAATTATTATAGTTTACCAATACTTGTACAGCAAAACTGCAAACGACATTAGAGGTAGAATTTCACTTAGGGGATTATCTCTACTCTTCAGCTTCTTAAAGTGAGGTTTCCTAATTTTTTTGTTTAATTTGCATAAAACAAACTATGAAAGTCGGGTGTGCAGGTATATACCTACAATTCCAGCTGCTCAATAGGCTGAGGCGTGAGCATCACACTTTTGAGGATGGCCTGGGCAACTTAGCAAGACCTTGCCTCAAACTGAAAACAAAATAAAAGCCTCAGGGGGCACAGCTCATTGGTAGAGCGCTTGTGTGGCATGTCCACAGCCCTGGGTTCCATCCCCAGAACCCAGAACGGTGGGGGAGGAAGAGCAAGAGAATAATACGGAGTCTTGGGCTACAGAAGTGGTTTCATCTGGCTTCTGGGTACCATTCCCAGGATGGGTGGGCCATGCCAGTGGGGACACACTTCACAGCCTGCCCCCCTTCTCCTTGTCTTTATATTTCCCTGGATAGTATGAGTACAAATTTTCCTGGATTATTCCAGTATTGAGTTTCCTGAACTTTGGCAAAAGTGTGGAAATTGCTGTTTGAATTTCTCAACAATTTTCTCAAGTAACATTATAGTATTTTTATTTTATGGAAGAAATGTGGTCACTGAAATACTTCCTATAAATAGCAATACTCAGATTACCAATAGACAGACTTCTTTAATTTAAATATGTGACATTAGCAAAAACAGCAACACCTCCTCAGAATATCTTGGTGCTATTAAAACTCAGTGATGTGTGTGAATATGTAAAAGTAAACCAGCACGAATGATGCGTGTGTGCAGGCGCCGTGTATTTGTAACATTTATTTCTTGGTTCCTGCTGGGTGGTCTAATACTGCCTTTTACACCACACCCAGCTGATCCCAAGTTCAGGGTTATTGAAACGCATCATAAATAAAACCCATCTGTGCATTGTGTAAGTACCAGATGATATTTACAAAGGCTTCAGCAACTTCGCCATTTTCCTCCCAGAAAAAAGCACGATGTCTACCATCAATTATAAGATCGCAAATGTTTGCATAATGCTGACTTCACCCCAATAATCTTTCCTGGCAAATTCAAGTATGACTCAGAAGGAAAGAAATTATTTCATTCTGGGGTCCGCTGCATGTCAAGATAAACAATGTTATCCATCTAAAATGGCCCACACTTTGCCTGGGAGTTTGCCCTGTATATTCTCCTCAACAGACTGTCTGTTCTTCAGGAAAAACAAGCCCATCTCACTAGCAGCAGCTTGTGTGCCTATAGAAAATCACTTCTAAAAAACCATTTAGAGTCAAAAACGATATTTTATGTCAATGAGATTTCAGGAAGTGGGGACTTTAAATTAAGCTCTTGGGAGTTTCCACTCACAAAATTTGAAAAATGCAGTTTTATCTTAAGCCCTTCGTAAATCACGGGGAAATACTGCTGATTTGGCGATGTGGAACACGGCCTCCTGAGTCTTTTGTTGGAGGGAAGGATAAATTGGGAGCAGTGGGAGCAGGAGG